ATGCATGCATGGACGGATGGGTGGGTGGATGGATGGACGGGTGGGTGGACAGATGGATGGATGGATGGATGGACAGATGGATGGGTGGGTGGATGGACGGGTGGACTGACGGATGGATGGATGGATGGATGGATGGGTGGGTGGGTGGATGGACAGATGGATGGATGGTTAGGTGGGTGGATGGCTGGCTGGACAGACAGACAGGTGGATGGATGGACAGTCAGGGCTGGGGCAGATCCAGGCCAGTGTCCCATCCCCCCAGGGATGGGGCAGCATAGGGGGGTGGACAGTGCCAGGCCACCCCTCTGACCCCCACACAGCACAGCTGGGCCCCAGATGTGATGGCTACTGCCGGCAGGACCCCATCACGTGCCCAGGGAGTGCCTGGGTACCCTGAAGAGCTAAATATTAACGGTGTTATCGGCGAGACCTTGGCAGGGCGAGCTGCTCCGCCTCCCAGCCCCCACCCTCCAGAGCACAGGGGAAACTGAGGCATGGGGTGGCCAGTGGCACCCCAGAGATGGACTGTGGGCTTTGGCAGGGCCACCCTGCCCATGGTGATTCCCCAAGGGGCGAAGAAGGAGCCTGGGACACGGGGACAGGGTCCCTACTGGAGGGATGGGGCAGGGGGGTGACACACCAGCCCCAGCCTGGGTTTAGTGCAGTGGATGGGGGTCTGTATGACACGGCCCCCATCCCCAGTGCCCCCAGCCAGTGCTCAAGAGGGGTTCATGGGTGCTTCACCCCCCAAGACTGGATTTGGGGGCACCTGTGGGTGCCACTGAGCTCTGCTCCACTGGGAGGGGGCACAGCCTGGCAGCGACAGGGCACCGAGGGGGCGGGTGGGGGCAAACCCAGCCTCGGGGGGCAGCTGTCTGTTTATCTGTCCACACAGAGCTGTGCTGTGTTTCCATGTGTGTGCGCCCGTGTCCGTGCCCCCCTGCACCCACGCGTGTCTACGCACACCCCACACTGGGGGTTTTCACCTTTACATACCCACATGTGTCCCTCCCCACGCGCCCATGCCCAGGGGGCAGTTCCACAAGGGACGCCGCTGTCCCCAGGCGAAGGTCAGGGTGTCTCAGCCCTGCCACCTCCCCGCGCCCACGCCTGGCTAAGGGGCAAGCGAGCAGGGCTGCGGCAGGCTCCTTTATTGGGGGGGCAGCGATAGCAGCCCCGAGATAAGCGCGTGTGCCAGTGCCAGCACCAGGCAGTGTCACCCCTGTGCCTGAGTCTGGGGTCCGCGGCTGTGCTGTGACCTGATGGCCAGGCACGGCTGCTGGGTCCCGGTGGTGGCGGGGGGGTCTCCTGCCCCTAGAAAAACCTCTTCTTGCGGGGGTCAGCAAAGGAGATGGAGCTGCGCGGAGCAGCGGTGAGTAGCCCCAGCGGGATGTCCATGCCGGGCAGGGCGCTGGTGCCTTCGCCATCTGGCTTCCTCTCTGCCAGCACCCCGTCCTCCTCCAGCCACTCCACCTCCGGCACAGTCCCCTCGGCCATCACCGCCTTCTCCTCCTCCAGTTTGGGCCCGAACGCCCAGTCTGCGGGGGCAGAGACGGAGCCATCAGCAGCCACGGTAAAGGCTGTGGGTTTGGGGAACCCCCCCTTCCCAGCCTCATAAGAAGCCCCAAACCTCGACCCTACTCTGGGCAGCACTCACCGGCAAAGTCGTGCACCAGGTCCTTGATGAGGTGCCCCACGATGGCGTAAGCCACCACCAGCACCAGAGTGGCCGCCATCACCAGGTAAAGGACATAGCGGGGCAGGCGGATGCTGTCCAGGGCAGGGGGTTTGTAGTCCACGTACAGCACCCCATCCTCCTCGGGGGGAGATTGCAGCAAGTGCCGTGGCCTCCACGTCCCCCCGGTGCCAGGGAGCGGGGTGCCCCCCACCACAACCATTGCCAGCTCCCCCTGCACCCCAGCCCAGAGCCAGCTAAGCCTCTGCTGCACAGGAGGTCACAGAGGAGAAGTGGCATCAGGGTCTGTGAGGCTCCTCAGTGCCGGCAGCTCATGGGGACAGCAGGGTCCCCATGCCCAGTGGCAGTGCCACTTGCCCTTCATGCAGTGAAGGAAGCCGCTCACCCGCTACCGCCAAAGGACGGAGCATCCGCGGGAAGGAGCTTAGCGCCTGCTAATCCGAGCACACCCCCGTCAGGCTCAGCCTGGGGGGTGACCGGCGGGCTCCAACATGGCTCAGGGTCCTCAGAATCTGCCCCTCTGGCAGCACCGCAGGTACCTCCATCCCCCTGGGACTGAGGAACCATCTGCAGCTGGAGAGCCCCCAAAGGCAGGGATGGGGAGGGACACCCCGAGACCTCCCCCCACTCCTCCAAGCTCTGAGTTAAATCCCTCCGCAGGCCACGCATCCCCTGAGCAGATGGTGTGAAATCCCAACTGCAGCGCCCTGCCCCGGAGGACACGGTGCCCTCCGAGCCGGGAGGTGATGGGCAGAGGGGACGGGTGCCACAGCCCCACGCCGTGGCAGGGGGAGTCCCACAGGGCTGCCTTTGCCGAGCAGAGCCCAGCTGCAGTGCAGTAGCCCCCAGCGAGGGGCTGTCACCTCCCTGGAGCTTCATGTTGGCCACTGCATATGGCACCCAGGTGCCCAGATTCACAGAGGAGCGCGGGGTCCAGGCATCGCCTGAAAGCACTGCCCTCTGCACTGAGAGGGTGCACGATTTCGCCTGGACCAGCAACAGCCTTGAAAAAAAACCACCAAAACTAACAACCCGAACCCTTCCCAGTGTGGGTCGGTTGGCCAGGGAGGGATGAAGGTGTCCGTGGGGTTCAGTGCCAAGTAAGGGCTCAACGCCCCGGCACACATCCCAGTTCTGCTGCACCCAGGTTGTCCCCGGCCAGATCCTGGCCACAAAAATGCCAGTTTCATTCCAATTTGGGCTTATAAGGCATTTGGGAGAGAGCAGAGGCAAACACTGGCGCAGAGAGATTTGGAAACAACCCTGCGTGGTGCGAGTGAGTCACCTGTGGAAACACTGGAGAACAGCGGGGAGCAAGGGTTGGAGCAGCCGGGGCAATAAACAGGGAGAAACACACTGGCGAACACCGGGGAAACACGCCGGCAGCACACCAGAGCCCACGTGCTGATAAGGTCCCGGTGTGGAGCTGGCAGCCACCTTACGCCGATAATGTGGCAAGGGGGAAATGACACGTCCCACTGCCCTACTCCATCGGAGGAGAGGGGCGCAGACACCCCAGAGCTTGGGGGTGCCGGCTGGGTCCTGCCCATCACCCAGGGGCTATGGAGGGTGAGGGAAGGGGGGAAACAAGCCCCGTAACAGCTGCTGATTCCAAAACAGTGTGAAAACATCAGGTCTTTGTCTCCCAATGCCTAGGAATTGAGGTTCAGTGGCCCTCATCCTTCACGTGACATGCAAGCAGCCCCATCCACAGCACTTGAGTGTGCCCGTCTCACTTCCAGTAAGCATGTACAGGCAATCGAAATTACTCATCTCCAGTAAAAACCCCTTCCATGGCATCCTGAACTGGGCTGAGGCTGGGGCTCCCCATCCCAGCTGTGCCCCCAAGTCCCAGGGCCCCAAGCCGGCCACAGCAGCAGCTTTAGGGACTAAGAGGATTGAACCCAGGAGACTTTGGTCCAGGGGAAAAGCCCCGTCAGCAGAGTGCCAGTCCCCGCGGTGCAGTGGGACCCCATCGGCCCCTCTGCTGGGTGGCAGCATGGGGGCTCCTGGGCACCCCCTGGGCCACGTCTGCTCTCCTCCCTGGGCCTGCCAGGGTTGTGGGGAGGGGGTTTTACCCCATGCCATGAGGGACCCCACCCTGTGCTCTCTCCTCCCATTACAGTTGGACTCAATGATCTTAAAAGTCCTTTCCAACCTAAATGATTCTGTTCTATGGTTCTATTAGGGCAGCCCCAGGGCTCCCCACCAGGGCCTGACCCCACAGCGCTGGGTGCACCCCACATCCAGGCAAGGGCTAAATCACTGCTCGACTCACACAGGAGCTCCCTCCACCAGCACTTCTTTCCCTGCCAGCCCCAACCCCCAGTGCCCGCACTGGGCTGCCCGGGGGTTTGGGTGTTGGGTGATGGCAGCAGACACCAGCCTCAGCCCTCCCAGGTCTGGTTAAACGCTGGGGAAAGTCCGGGCAGGCTCTGCCTCACCCTATAAGCCCTAATGGCAGTGCCGTTCCCTGCAGAAAGAAAAAACGCAGCCAAATCTTCCAAACTTTGCCATGAAACAACCCCCATCCCAGGGCAAAGGCTGCCATAAGCACATCCCTGGCCTGCCCCGACAGGAGAGGCCAAACCCACAGCAGCTTCTCTACCACAGAAGCAAGGAGGGACCCGGCTCAGCACCAGCACCAAGGGCTATTTTCGAGGCAACGCACTGCTACAGCCTACGAGAGCGAGTGCCCAAAGCCAGCTCCGGCCCCCCCAGCAAAGCTCAGGCAGGGAAAGCGGAGCTGTTTCACACCGAGCCGCCGCAGCAGCACAAGCCCAGAGCAGCCCCGGGCCCTGTGCAGCTGCGACAGGCTCCGACGTGCAGAGCGGAGCCCACCTGGTCCAAGCCCCGAGCCAGGCTGCGGGCAGACAGTGCTGATCCTGGCAGGGAAAAAGGGGCAGATCCAGGAAACAGGGGATGGCGGGGGGCAAGTAGCAGCTCAGCCTGGATTTGGAGGGAGAAGACAGCTGTAATTGTGCCAGAGAGCAAATCCAGTTCCTCCTCCACCTCCGCCGCGGCAAGGCATGGATCCATGTTGATGGAGGCGGCCACAAAAGTGTAGCCAGCGGGGGCGGGAGGCAGCACCCCCAGCCTGTACCCTCCCCAGCCAGGGCTCAGGCGGAGGCCTGCAGCTTGCACAGCCCATCAGCGTACTGGAACTGGGTGCCATTCTCATACTCATACATGTCCAGCGCCACTTCGCAGCTCTCCCGCACCACCCGCTCCTCATCGCGGGCGAAGGCACGCAGGGTCTCCAGGCAGGAGGGGCGGGCGATGGAGCCCAGGGCCTCGGCACACTCGTGGCGCACCATGGGGCTCTCGGTACGGTTGCGCAGCGCGGCCGTCAGCTGTGGGACACAGGCCTCATCCTGCATCTGGCCCAGCACGTAGCCAATCTCATGGCGGAAGAGGGCACTGCCAGTGCGCAGTCCTGCGGGGAGGAGGCGAGAGTGAGCCACCACTGCCCCCAAAGTGCACTGGGATGACGGCTGGAGCCCCCCACCCAAAAGCTGGGGAAAACCATGGGGCAGGCTGGGCCGGGGGTTAGAGCCAGTGGTTGCCACCCCAGACCCGTAGGGGCTCTTGGAGAATGGGACAAATTAACCTGCTCCCTGACCCCGCACAACCAGGGCAGCCCTGACACCGCATGCCCGCAGCCATGCCCCAGCGGTGTAGGGACGCCCTCTCGTGACAGTGGCACCCGCCCTCCTGGCAGAGCTGCCAGCACCCTGCCCTGCCCTGGGGAGCCTGCGCTGCCCACAGGCCCTGCCCCACCAGCGCAACGTGCCTGGGGCGGACTGGCAGCACAGCTACAGCCTCAAGCCCTCCTGTGCTGCGGCAAGCTTCAGTCGAACAGCTGTAGGAGGAGCTCACAGATCCCTCCATGCCTCGTCTCTCGGTGCAGACATGCTCTCAGCTCATCCCAGGTGGCTGGAGAGCTTCGTCTACATTTCTCAGGCTGGGTCCAAATGGTTCCTGGACTGTGGTCTGCCCCTTCCCCACTCAGGAGACATTCATTCCCCTCTCCAGAGCTATTCCCAAACCCCAGGACGAGGTTGGCAGGCTCTGACTTTCCAGGACGGGACAGCAGGACCCCGACACCTTGGCACCAGGTCCCACCAGGTCAGACTGGTTGGTCCCAAGTCAACATTACAGACTGTGCCCTCTTCCACCCACACCCACAGAGAAAGGGGGCCTGGAAGATGGCGAGGGGGCTGCGAAACACCAAAAAGCACCGAGCCCTTTGTGATGTGGCTCTTGCAAGCAAACAGGAGGACAGCAGCTCTAGAAAAAAAATGCATGAAGAGCCTAAGAAGAGCTCCACAGCTCCGGCAGCCCTGGATTTGGGAAGGACTAATCCCAGATTAACCCGTACAGACTAACAGCAAGGAGACTGCAGGCAGCCTCACGCTGGCCCTTACCGTCCGCCAGTGCCAGAACGGCTGCCTGGCCCCCCAGGTTTCGCAGGGCAAACATGGCCCTGTAGCGGTCAAATAGTGTGCGTGACTCATCCAGGAGGGTTTCGCGGAGTTTGGTGACGTCAGTCTCCTCGGCAGGGGGAGCAGGATCCACAGAGAGGTAGGGGCTGGCACCCGGCTCCTGCTTGTTCTCCTGCAGCCACTCCAGCCTCCTCACTGCCAGCTGACATGTTTCCGCCACCTGCAGGGATGGAGACACAGCCCTAGCTGTGGGATGGCACCATACATGGAAGGGCACCCCGGGCTTCCCGACAGCAGCTGGGCACCAGCACACAGCAGGATGCTGCTCACGGTGCCCCTGTCCATGGCCAGGGGCTGCCCAGGAGAGACCTGCCTCCCTCTCCTGGACCAGCAGCACTGCACCCCAGGGAAAATGACACTCCTTCCCACCACCAAGAGCCTCACCTCAACCACAGGATCCTCTGAATAGCGTTTCAGGATATCCAGCACATTGGGATTGCCGATAGCACCCAGGGCTTCACCTGAAAGTAGGAAGGATGTGTCAGGATGCTACCGAGGTGTCTACATGAGGATCACCCTGCTGTGTCCTCCAACGAAGCCTCACCATGCTCTGAAGTGGGGACACAGGCCTGACTCTGACCAATCCTAAATGAGCCAGCCTGGCAAATAAACAGGGCAGGAACCAGCCTGGCCAGCTGGAAGGGGAAGGCTTGGCCAACCAGTCCAGCCAGGGGACATGGTGAGGCGGTTACATGCCTCAGAAGCCATGACACCCAAGCTGGATCAGTCCATCACGAGCTGTTCGGTATGAGGGGAAGTACCCACAAGTCCCACTTGCAGGCCAGACCTTTCCCCTGCACCCACAACTGCAGGAGCTGCCATCGTACCCGCCTCGTGTCTGACCATGGGCTCCTGGCCGGTGTCCTCCAGCACCTGGACGAGCACTGGGATGGCTGCTTCATCCTGCATCTGGCCCAGGCAGTAGGCCAGCTCGTGCTTCAGCAGCGCAGAGCCGTCCTCGAAGTCCCGGCCGATCCACTCCACGGCCGCCTGGCCGTCCAGGTTGCGCAGGGTGAAGAGGGCTCGGAACCGGGCGGGCAGGGGCTGGGCCGCGTCCACCAGCGTCCGGCCGATGGCCGCCCCACCCTCCGCCGTTAC